TTATATTTGTAAAATAATTATTCATAACATCGGCAATGTCATTAAGGTCAGTATATTCCGTATCACGGTGTAAAATATTTTCAGGATAAGGATTAGTATTATACCCTTTGCTTCATTAAAAAACTGCCAAATGTTTTTCAGATCATCTTTCTCTTTCACAGAGTTTTTAATAAAATTAACCTTTGATTTTGTGATTAAAGATTTAGTTTCATTTCGCCAATATTTATAGAAGTAATTTTTGTTCTTTTTCTTTAAGTAATCTCTTAGTTTTCACGCTTCCTGAATCTCGTCATTAAACCATTGTGGTTGGGAATGTCTCTTGACTCTACGGCGCCTCCTTGGAGCGTGAAAATCTAGAACATGATTAAAGAGCTAATACCAAGTTTCAATAGCAATGTTGGGGTCATCAATATGTTCAATACATAGATTTTGTGGCTTATACATTTCTAAGGCATTTTCTAAATTAGTATTTATTCTAATAAAGAAAAATGTATCTAAAGATAATATATAATTTCCAAGCCTTATTTCATTTTCTTCCAAAATTTTCAAATAAAAGTTAATTATTTGATCATTAACCCATTTACGTGTATTTAACGTGTTAATATCAGATTGCTTTATAATATATCAAAAACCTCTACATATGATTGTATCAGGTGTCAATGAGTATTCAGATGGATTAGTGTTTTGATTTACTTTAGAGTCTGTTTCTTTTTTTGCAGTTTCTTTTTTGAAACTTGTAAAAGATTTCTGTGTTTGCGTTTAATGGGAGTTATTGGTACATACCTCTTTTCGATTATATTAGTATTTTTCTTTTTTACTTTAATTATTTTTTCAGAGCTAACAGTGATATTAATCACCTTATGATCTGAATAATAATTTTCAAATGTACGACACTGAGTATATATGTCAGGTATATTACTAAATATTAAGTCAATTATAGTTCCTGCTTCAGTAGTAGGAACATGTATTTTTTGCTCGAATGTTTTCATGAATGGTAATTAGCTTTTAAATCTTTTCTTGTAGATTTACCAATACTTTCATTGCTAAATTCTACCCAAACAATAGTTCGGGTAGCCAATCTTGATTTATCAATTTCAATTAATTTTATGGTACAATCAGCACCATTTGTTAATCCATCTTCAGTTCTTACATTAATACACAGTTCACATTTCATACCAATAACTAAATATAATTGGGTATGTAGCTGCATTGTTTTTCTCGGATCATCTGGTATATTTTCTAATACAGCCTTTTCAACAGCTTCAGAGTCAACAACACTATCTTCGGCTCTTACTACAATTTTCACCAGT